AATCGTTTGCGATGTTGCATCCAGGTCAGCCTTCAGCGCGGTCACGACTTGGTCGTTCCGCATATACAATACGTCATGCCTCTACATCGTGAAGCGCCAACTCCATCCCCGCTTGTGTCCAAACTTGACGGTCCCGGTGTGATCCAATCTAGACCATTCTCTCTTTTGTCGGGAAAGCAAGGGAATGTTGGTCTCTCTTTTCTGGAATCAATGTCTCCTGGACCGGAGGTGGCCGCTTTCTTGGCAGGCTGGCTGTCCTGGATAGCTGTCTCGGCTGCCCTTTTGCGAGCAACGATCTCTTCTCTGCGAATTTCTACACCAGCCCCCATCTCGATGTCTTCATCCATCACGACATCAATCGGGCTAAATGGTTTAGCCTCGTCCCCTGCCGGCTTGGCCGGTCGGAAAGCCCCCTCACTCGGCTGTGCCGGTGGGGTAGCATTTCGAATTGTCTCGGGCTGAGCGTTTTCTTTGGGCTCAGTCCCGGGATTTCCCTCCTCCAGATAGTCGGGAAGGAGTTCGTCTTTGATGTCGTCTGAGCAGATCGAAACAACGTCCTCCCCCGACGGCTTAACCGCTGGGTCTCCCAACGGTCGACACATGGGTTTGGTCGATGCTCTCTTGGGCGCGCGGGGGCCGCGGCAGGCAAGGTTCGCGCAGTCACCGCAAGGCGACCACGCAATCCGAGGGGGGGCCGGCCGCAGGGCAGCCCGCGCAAGCACTATCTCCTCCTAGGATCCTCCTCCCTCCTCCCTCCTCCCTCCTCCGTCCTCCTCCACCTCCTCCTCCGTCCTCCACCCTCCTCCTCCTGAGAATATCCTCCCTCCTCCCTCCATCCTCCTCCTCCTACACGCCTTGTGAAACACCTCGATGCTCCCAGCCTCTATCATGCACGCGTGCTGGGTCGCCGCACTCTTGTGCAAAGTGCCACCAGCCCCGTGCCCCAGAGTAGTCAACGGCATGTGCCTGTACACTGCGCGCTGATTGATGTCCATGGCAAGGCACTCTTCTGACGTGAGTGTCACTGGCCACGTGACCTTGCTTTCTAAAACTGTATAGAACTAGTAAGGGGCCTGAGGGGAACTGTCGGCTTGCCAGTGGCGACAACTCGTCGTGGCGGCCGCTGTTTTCTGCATATACAACATTTCCAAATATGAAATCCTCTGCCTAGTCTTACCCCTCACGAAAGGAATGGCACGTTGAGGGATCGCGGCCAATATGGGTGCTCTCGCTGCAGCGTCAGGTACTGCAATCCGAGCGCATAGACTAGCAATACCTTGAAGGCTCGTAGGTTGCGGGTCCCGCAGATTTCGAGCAAGTAGCCAGCATCGAAGTTGCGTTTCTGGCTTGGGAGCCGCATTGCTCATCCACCACTGGCGGAGCGTTGATGGTAGGAGGCTGAGGGGGGGGGAGGGGCTGCAAATCCGCGAGGGGGCGGAGCCCCCAGGGCCCCCAAGATGGAGAGAGGATGGGAGGTCGAATGGGATCCATGCTCCATGGGATGTGAACCTCTGTGCCGATTTGCGGCGTGCGTCCGATAATGGCAGCTCACGGAAGTGGCGATCAGCTGCGCAGGTGGCAGCACCCAGGCAGGGCAGTTGCGCAGTTGGCAGCCCCCAGGGAGGGCGAGGTCCCTTTTCTGGGCTCGCGTGGGACGTCACTCGGCTGGACCTCCCAGGAGCTTACAAAAGCGGCGACATCTGCGGACCTGGCGAGGCCCCTTTCGGGTCCCCGAGGGGCGTCACTCCGCTGGGCCTCCCAGGAACTTACGGAAGTGGTGGACACGTAGGTTGTTACAAGTGTTCGTGGCCTCAGAAGCGCGGATCCATGGTTCGTTATTCGGAAACGTGGCATCAGTGGCGTTGTATCATGTATTATTTCTTTGGCTAGGGATCGTGGCTTCGGAAGCGCGGACCCATGGTGCTTTACACATGATCGTGGACCCTGGAGCGCTGATGCGTTTTGAGACGAGGCGTCGTGGGCTCGGGGGCGCGGATACATAGTTCTGCGAAGAGAAATGAAGCCATATTGGGTGCCGTATAAAGAACCATCGCGCGCGCTTCGCGCGCGCTCAAATTCTAGCTAGCTTGAAGGATTGCGCGTAGCGAAGGATAGCGCGATGCGGCTCCTGGGCCGTCTCGGGGTTCTCTTCGAGCCTGTTTTGGGCTTCTTGGGGGCCTCTTGGGGCATCTTGGGGACTTCCTGGGAGCCTCTTGGGGCCTCTTGGGGGCATGTTGGGGCGGAAAGCTTGATTTTTCAGTTCGCGTTCCCTCTCTTGGGCCCCTCTTGGGGCCTTCTTGGGACCCTCTTGCGCCGTCTTGGGCGGCTCTGGAGCCGTCTCGGGGCTCTCTTGGGCCGTCTTGGGGCCCTCTTGGGGGCCTCTTGGGCCGTCTTGGAACGGTTTGGGGAGCCTCTTGGGCGGTGCTTTACCGCTGGAAACACGAAACAGCGAGAATGCAAAAATAACATTTTTAAAAAAACAATGAAAATCAACGAGTTGCCCTCTCGGGGCGTTGGGCGGCATCTTGAAGGCCTCTTGGGGCGTCTAGGGAGCCTCCAGGGCAGTTCAAAACGCATCGTGCGTCGCCAAAGACCCCTGGACGGCGTCTTGGGGGTGTCTCGAGACCGTCTGGGGCCGCCCGGCTTGCTGTCTGAGGGCTCCCCGGGGCGATTTCAAGCTTCCCAAAGGGCGGGCCCGGGCCCTGGGGCCCACATTTGCGGTCGAGGTTCCGGCCCTCGGCCACCGGGCCCGGTGCGCCGCTCTGTGTATATGCGATACGATGGTATGCTATGCTATGCTATGCTATGCTACGCCATACTGTGTGATGCGATGGTACGCTATTATATGCGCTGCTATGCTATGCGATGTTATGCTATGCTATGCTATGCTACGCCATGCTTTTCTATGCTGCGCTGTGCGATGCTGTGCAATGCTATGCTCTGCTATGCGATGCAATGCTATGTTGTAGCTCCAGTTGGCCCCCTTCCCCCCCCCTTCACCACACACACACACAACCTCCTCATCACCCGAAGGGTGGTCGTACGTGTAGGTATTAACTGGCAGGATCTCGCGGCCAGAGACGCAGCCGCCTCGCGCAAACTTGCCTGGAATGGGAACGATCTGGGAGGAGCGGGGAGGGATGCGGAGTGGGGTGTCTTGTGGGCCTCTTGGACTGTCTCAGAGCGCACTGGGATCCACAGGCGCCTACTGAGGCCGTCTTGGAGGGCTCTGTGGGACGTCTTGGAGCGATCCTACGGGCTTCTTGGGCCGTCTTGGACGCCTTTTTGGGATGTCGTGCGGCGATCTTGGGGTTATCTCAGCGCCTTCGGGCCCTCCGAAAGCCCCCCGAAGGCCCGCAATGAGTCCCGGGCCCCGAGGGACACAGTGGGCACCGCGGGGGGAGTCGGAAAAGTGGGCCGCCTCGGGCCCCAGAGGCCTGGTCGCAGGGTCCGCATGGTGATGGCGGGCGACTATGATGAGCGCTTGCGCGCTGCAGTCAGAGCCACCTTGAGCCAAAATGGCTACGGATACTCGTGGAGCGTCTTTCGGGGCCCCTTTGGGGCCTCGTGGGGCCTCTAGGGGGCCTCTAGGGGGCCTCTTGGGCTCTGTTGGGGGCCTCTTGGGGCCTCCTGGAAGCCTCTTGGGGTGGAAGGCTCGAATTGTCGGTTCGTGCTCCCCTCTTGGGCCCCTCTTGGGGCCGTCTTAAAACCGTCTTGGGGCCCTCTTGGGCGATCTTCGGCGCCTCTTGGGCCGGCTTGGGGCACTCTTGGGCCGTCTTGGGACTCTCTTGCGCCGTCGTGGCGCACTCTTTGGGTGCCTCTCAGGCCGTCTTGAGCTGATTGCTGGGGCCTCGTGGACCGTCGGAAGCACGAAACAGCGAGAACACGAACAACCTTAAACCCAGTCAGCAAGAAAAACATACTTTTTCGCCTCTTGAATGCCTCGCGGGAGTCCTTTTGAGGGCATCTTGGCCGACTTGAAACCCTCTTGGGTACAACGCTCTTGTGCGGTCGTGGGCTCTCTTGGGGCGCTCTTGGGCCATCTTGGTGCCTTCTTGGACGTCTCTCGGCCCCCTTTGGCATTTTTTGGCGCCCCTCGCTGGGCCCGAAACGGCCGGAAGTCAAATCAGTGTACTTTGGGGGCCCCAGGACCCCCTGCTCATTATATGTGTATATATGTGTGACCATATGCACATATGTATATGCGTATATACATGTGTATGAATGCACATCTATATAGGTGTCACGCAAGCTACCGAACAACACAAACTTGCAAATGACGTGTGCAATTGATCCTGCGGTACGTGCTACGTGACGTTCGCGCATGGTTGCGCTTTCGTGCGATTCCCTATCACACCACGTCGCATTCACGCCGGAGGCATGCCAGCTTCAAGGTTGCTGGAGCTCGAACTGGCTCAACCAAATCAAAGATAATTCCAGTGCCAGACGGCATTGTCGGGGCCTGGCGGACATCCACCGCTTGGTTACGGGTCGCGCGCAGGCTCCAAAAACAGAAAAGTTTATGTATGCAGTGCAGCTAGGGGGAGGGGCCAACCACAAGAGGGGGTCGGGCGGAAGTCCCCATCAGGAGTCTTGAAAAAGCACGCTCTTTTCACGGCACTCGCTGGGGCCCAGTCGCCCGAAGTTGTTCGAATCACGATTCACCGTCGAAACGAGGCGAGCAGCACTCAAAGTCGGCGCCGCAAATGCCCGCAGCCTGTGCCACGGAGCTCGCCATTACTAAAGTTATCGTGAAAACCCGCACATGCGCGTTCGCTCCATCGGAACCCATACACTATACAAGCGCGAAAGTCTACGCAAGCCAGGAGTGCACGCCAAGGCTGAACGGGGTGAAAACCACCGCCAAAAACGACAAACAGAATTTAGTGGCAGTGCTGGCTTCTTGTGAATCATCAGTGGTCGTCGTGGCGCACACCGAATGGAAATTCTTTTGGGGGTCTGTTTGCTGCCCCGTCGCCTTGGACTCAGGCTCACACCTCCTGTCTTCCACGGGCAACCATCCACCGCCAGACTCCACGAGCTTCTTCCAAGACGCGGCAAACGCTATGTCAAGTTTCTGCTGGTCACACACCCAATGTTTCGCTAACGCCAGGTACGCATCATCGCTCACAAGAGCCAAGTCTGCTGTCAGACGCATGGTTCCAGCCAAGATGCTGGTCCTGTCCTTCGTCTGCCACTGCACCGCCGACCCAGATGGAGTTGCGACTTGCTCCCACTCCTCATCAAGCATTCCAGTCAAGAATTGGTTGGTCCATTGAGAAGGAGTTGTCGTCCACGGCCCCTCGAAACCACTCGTCATAACGCCGGCACCATGACACTTGCCGAAAGCATGACCACCTGCTATCAGCGAAGCTGTCTCAGAATCGTTCATCCCCATGCGGCCGAACACCTCCCGAATCTCGACGGCACTCTTCTCTGGATCTGGGTTTTGCCCACTGTTCAGATCGTTCGGGTCGTTCAAAGGCCCCTCAGGGTTCACATAGATCAAACCAACCTTCACCGCACCCATGGGCTCCTGGCAATTTCCTTGCACAACGCAGTCCGTATCTTGCCAGCTATCTGCGACGCCAAAAATGTCACTCTTGTTACCATCTGCATCATCGACTCGTCCAAAACAGTGCGGATTTGTTGGGCCCCCCATGTCCCGGATTGCAACGGTACCAGCAAAACTGATGAGGTCGCCCCAACTGAGAGCATCGCCATATTTTTGCTTGATCCGTCACCGTGCCCTGAGGCACGGAGTGGGCGCGCCCTCAGGTCCTTCGCCTCCTCCCCAGAGCCTCGTTGCCTGAATCCCAGTCCTCAGTCCTGAGCATTTAAGGGGACCAGAGCCAAACTTACGAAATCTTGTGGGGCTCGCCGCGTCGGCCCCGGGCTTCTCGCGTGACTTTGGGAGGGCAACTTGTTTGGCACCCCTCACGAAGATCGTGGCCCCCGAGCGCGAACATTTGAGCCCTCCGCCCCAAGAGGCCCCCAAGATGCCCCGAGGGCTCCCTAAGAGGCTCCCAAGAGGCCCCCAAGAGGCCCCCAAGAGGCCCCAAGAGGCCCCCAAGAGGCCCCCAAGAGGCCCCAAGAGGCCCCCAAGAGGCCCCCTAGAGGCCCCAAGAGGCTTCGAAACTGCCTCCCAGAGGCCCTCAAGACGCCAACCACAAGATCCCAACCCATGAGGCTTCTGACCCCTCACCAAGGCACGGCGGCGGATGGGCCGAAGGCCACTAGATAGGAACGAGAAGGGCACGGGCCTTATCCAGGTTACCATTGTCCTCCCAATCTGACTCTGGTGGGAAGCGGATTCTGGCACCTCCGCAGCCCCCTTTCTGATCAGATGTGCGAAAGGTGCCAGCGCAATGCCACGCTAGGCGAATCATAAAACCACCGTAATGGCCATCATCGGCTGGCCAGCAAGTCTGGCTGTCTGTCATGAGGACTCTGAGGTCCTGCTCAAGTGCCTCAATGTCTAGCCCTTCTAGGGCTGTCTTGAAGTCACTGTCAGAAATGACTTCTGCCTTCAAACTTGGAGGAGTGCCAATGTCCATGAAGGGGCATGATCCAAATACACCAATCGGTAAAAGAGCCACGATTAATGAGTTCATCGCTGCTTTGAAACACTTTGAATCCGAATGTCGCTGGACGTTGTAATTACGGAGGGCTTCCTGAAACAGTTGAGCCTACATTGTAAATTACGGAGGGTTTCCTGCGAGCCTCTTAGAGGTCTCTCGGTCTGTTCATTGGACCTCTTGGGCGCATTCGGGGCTTTCCCCCACCAAGCCGTGGCTGGATCCTCGCCTTGAATAGGGCGATTGGGTCTACACCTGTTTCTCCTTCGCCCCCGTCCCGCCTACTCCCTTCTCCTGTCTCCCCTGTTCGCTCGCCTGGCTGACCTGCCTGTTTGCATGCGCCCTGTCTTGCCGTCCTGTCTGGCAGCTCGGCGGCGCAGGGCTGCGAAGTGTGAAACCGCCACTTTCGAAGGCTGCTGGGAGGGACAGCGCAGCGCGGAACATCGTGGATCCAAAAAGGACCTCGCTGTTCCCGGGCTGGCTGCGAAGTGCCGAACGCTTCCGGATTGAAATGATCGACGCACGAACCCGGAAAGGAACAGAAATGTAAGGCATGGCAACGTTTCAAAGGCACCTTATTGGGCGACGGGCAAATGCAATGCTGAGTGTATCGATCTTGAAGTACTGTGCCGAGGGCTGTGCTGTGCTACGCCGTGCTGAACTGCGATGCGCCATGCCGCGATTGTGCTCTATATAGCGTTGTGGATCGAGTCCTCCCTGGCATCCGAGTCCTGACCGAACTGATCTGCATCTTAAGCTCGCGCTGCCTGAGCAGATGCTGGCTGCCAAAGAACTAATCGGCTGAGGGGACACGCCAGGAGGAGGCGCCGCGGAACGTCCCAAGGGACGAGCCAGGCGACGTGCCAGGGGACGTGCCATGGGCACGCACCGCGGGACGTCCCAAGGGGACGCTCTACGGAACGTGCCATGGACGTGCCGCGGGACGTGCCAGGGGACGCGCCGCGCGACGTGCCACGGGGACTGTGCTGTGCTGTGCTGCACCGTGCTGAATTGCGATGTGCCATGGCGCGAGTGTGCTCTATAGCGTCGTGGATCGAGTCCTCCTTTGCATCCGAGTCCTGACCGAACTGATCTGGATCTTAAGCCCGAGCTGCCTGAACACATAGTAGCTGCCGTAGAGCTGATGGACAGGGGAACATGCCAGGAGGACGCGCCGCGAAACGCCCCAAGGGATGCGCCAGGCGACGTGCCAGGGAACATGTCATGGGGACGCACCGCGGGGCGTGCCAAGGGGACGCGCTAAAGAACGTGCCAATGGATATGCCACGGGATGTGCCAAGGGACGCGCCACGCGACGTGCCACGGGGGCTCGTCAAGGGACGCCCCACGGAACGTGCCAAGAAACGTGCCAAGTTGCAATGCTGAGTGTATCGATATTGATGTACCGTGCCGAAATATGTGCTGTGCTGCGCCGTGCTGGTTTGTCTTTCCTCTGAGAATCGGGGTAAGAGGACAAAGGAATTAAGGTCTCATGTTCACTCTGCTCAGTGGAAGAGGGCACGGAATGAGACATCGATAAGACAAGTAACCGGTAAGCAAATGTACTCTATCAGGAATAGTAAGTGAGGAGGCCGGCCGGCCGACGACACGATTACGACGAGGGGGCGACCCCTCGGCGCGCGCGTGCAAGCCAGCACGCTCCTTTTATCTCCTGTGAGCAAACACACAGTTGCGGAAGGTTAACGCAATCATAGTCATACAGCGCGAAGCAAGACAAGCGATACGATAAGCAGCATGAGGATGAGGCGGAGAGGAGCACATTTACTCCGCCCGCGGCGGGGCTCGTAGAGCCCATCCAGCCACAGCACCCCTGGCCTGCACATATACACAACCACCGGAGCCAACCGCAAAAGAATTTTACGGCTCAACGGTGGCTGCCAGGGGGCTAAGGGCCGAAGAGGCCCGACGACTCCCAACATCAGATAAATAAACTCTCTCCGCCGATTCGACTTCGTCGATCGGCAGAGCTGCTTCATTCGTCCGGCACGACTGCGTCGCGCAGCGGAAATTATCTTGCATACGCCTGCAGCGACTAAGTCACGCGGGCCGGACTCAATCCAGGCCCTCGAATGGGTTGTACTCCCCCGTCGGTGGCGTCGGAGGCCTCGGGCATGATGACGCCGAGCCTCCTGTCTGTCCCTCGCCGCCACGAGGCGAACGGGACCTCCCTTTGCCACAGCCAGCGTAGTACGCTGATCTGTAGTGCTTGTCTTTGTTCTTGGTCGCCTTCCCCTTCGGCGGGAAGCGAAACTCATGTTCGGCCAGAGACGGGACGCGCCACGTCTGCGACCACCAGACATCGTTGGACAGCCGCCAAAACCGATCCCGATGGACGTAGCATCCGACCTGCACGTCGTTTGTATAGTGCGGGTAGGAGACGAGCGGGTCGTAGCCAGCAGCGCCCCGGCCGACATCCATGGCTCCATCGCGCGCGCGCCGGGGCCTCGACCAATCCCGCGCGTCAGAAAACCACGAGTATTCTTCTCTTGTTCGCCGCGTCCTGCGGTCGCCTCGGCCCCACCGAACCAGCTTGGCTGTCGGGGGGCTCACTGGCACTTCCACCCTCACGAACATTCTGCTCTCGATCACGAATGAACTTCAGCAAATTCCTAGCAGCAGTAGCTACAAGAATGCCAAATTTACCGCATGCAGTACGAAACGGGCCTGCACCCTTATCTTGGAGCTCCGTGTTGGCATCTACATACCTGTGTTGAAGCCTATAAATGGCCTCCTGTAACAATGAACCCTGGCGACGAATGTCCGCCCTTACCTGTCCACCTAAATTACGGGCCCACTCTCCAACGAGGTCGCCCGCCTGAACCGCAGCGCGGATGCGACAGTCAAGGGCAGATGCATCCCTCCGTCGCTTATAATGAACATCATATGTGCCCCCCCCCCCCGCGGTAAGAATTGTTCTCCCCGGGTAGTCAACAAAATGTCAATCTGAAAGAAAGGAGCCCATGATCTCGCGAACGATAGCAACCACTCTTATAATGCGAAGACCAAGTTGCATGTGTGGCACAGGGGCCATCCAGTTCCCTTCAACTACGTTCCTCACGACATCTGGGACTTCATGTTGTGTTTCCCCTGACAGTCGCAACCTGTCGGGATCATTTGCATTTGAGCGAACACTTGTGTATTCAATGACATCTTGAGCTGTTATCGCTCTAGCCTCAATCCCAGTCAAAGGTATATGTATTGAACTGCCCTCACAATGTTTATATGAATATCCGTTGGGATGATCAAGGTTGATCGCCCCGTCAGTTATCAGCGCGGCCTTAGGCCCGCTGATGGCTGCGAAGTCAAAGGCGACCTGCAAGTTTGCATCTGCCGTCGCGGCTTCGCCAGAGGCAGGTTGCAGCATCGGTGCTATGAGACGATGGTCGCGACACTGGTTTGCTCGCCTAGCGCTAGAACGAGAATCACGACTCGGTCTTGCCCCAAGGCTGTTTTCCCACGCAACCGATAGACGTCCGCGAGGGCTTTGCCCTGCGGCGTCTGCGGCATCGTCCTGCTGTACAGGCATCCAAGGACTTCCCATGGCTACCTGATCGGCTATCGTCTGAAGTGTCGGGACGAAAACGCTTTGCCTGGTCATCGCGTGCTGCCATCTCTCCCAACCGTTCATCGGTTCATGGAGGTCGTCTCGCTGATCTGGCCAGCCGAAGGCTGCCAGAGCCGGACAAGACATTGGGCGCGCAAATTGGTCAATATCCGTTTTCCAAAGCAGGGGCCACCATACCTGAATTGGAGGAACTTGGGCCCTCGCCCTTGAAGCCAAGAATGCGAGCCATTCAATGAACCTCCGTTTCAAAGGCTCCAAATACTTGAAGAAAGGGCCATGACGCGCCGGCGGCTGTGCCGCGGCGTTCTCTGGAACCCAGGCAGGGAAGTTGCCTGGCTGGCTGTTCCCAAAGATCTGACCAGCAGCGGCCAT